CACACACACACACACACCTTACACACACACACACACACCTTACACACTCACACACACACCTTACACACCTTACACACTCACACACACACACACCCCTTACACGCGCACACTCACCTTATTCATCCAGCGTCCAAATTACATTATTTTTGTTTCCCTTAGGATTTATGTTCAAATTTAATCTGGGTATTGGTTATTTATTTGAGGTATCTTTCTATTGCGAAATATACATCTGAAAAATGAGGGAGGGGGGTGGGTCTGTGATTGGAAGGTCGTCGGTTCAACTCCCCAAACCGACATCAAAATGTGGGTGGGGAAGGTGAAACACCCACAACCCATCTGCCCCACCCTGCCCCCCCCAGCACAGCCCATGCACCAGACCCCCCCTCCACACAGAGGCAGTGGTAGCTGGGTGTCTGTCAGGAAGAACCTGCACAGTTCACTGTGGTGGCCCTGAAGACGAGCGCTAAAGAAAGAACAAGAAGATGAATCTAAACAATCATCATTCTGATTGTTGAATTATTTGGTACACCTGCTCAGCCTTCAGTTGTTTTTTACTTCTTTGATAGATCTGACCACATCTGGTGTAGATCTGTCACAATCAATCAATTAATCACATGATAAATGAAAATATCAACCTCGTTTTCATTTATGGCTTTATCGTTTCTTCGTGTCTCTCTTTCTACTGAAGACACTGGATGATAAAAAGCTCAACTCTGATGTTCTTCACTGACCCCTCCCTTTCTCTTTTCTATTCAAAATCCCTTTTAACATCCAAAGTCACGTTTTTGGATGTTAAAAGCGGCTAAGTTGAGAAGCTAAGCTACGAGCTAAGCTAACAGACCGACCTCAGGGAAAAAAAACCTCCGTCTTGTCGAAGCTCCAAAATTCACAGTTGTGTCTTTATCTAAAAAATTGCTTTTCTCTGCAAAAAGAAGCTGAAAACTTGTTTACGTTTTTTTTTAACTAAAAGCTTTGTGTGACAAATGCTATGCTAAAGAGCTCAAACCACACCGAGCGTCCGCCATTTTTAGAACCAAAAAAACAGGAGAGACAGCCCATGTCACGTCAAGGGGCCTCCCTCCCATTTTTCTTAGACACACTGCTTGCTCCCTCACTATCCATCCTTTGGTTCAAACAGTCTTATACTGCCATCCACTGGTCAAAAAATGTGCTACACAAAATTAACCAACATTTCTTATTAAACTTGACAATTGCTAATTATTGTGAAATTTCAAACAATATTATCGTTTATCGCAATGTTTTTCTGAGACAATTAATCGCCCAGCAACATTTGTTATCGTGACATCATGATGTTAATTTACTGAGCTCAGCTAATTGCCAGTTTGTTTCCTTCCAGAAAAAAAGCAGCGAAACAAACAAGAATAACTCTATAGAGCTGGGATTCCTAAAGTTGGGGTGTCCTCAAATAATATTAAACCACAATAAATAAATTTCTGACATTTACCTCAGATAAATTCAAAGTGATAAATGGATCAAATAAAATGGTAATTGAGACAGTTTGTCATCATGCTCTTGTTTATTAAAGTTATTAATATTATTTGTAGGTAAACCAAAGTCAAAAGCATTCATTGTTATTTTGTGGATTGAATGATTAAAACGTTTCAGAACCAATAATAGAGTATCAAAACACTTGATCATGTTAGAGTTAACACACAATTAGTTGTCAGTAATGTGAATGTAAACTGATAGTTACAAATTCACAATAAATATAATAATTTAGACCCATATTGTACCTTTGAATCATTAAGGAACAAGTTAGAGTGCACGTTTATCTTGTCTGAAAATCTACAAACCAACTCAACCCATAAACTAATTACTGGTACTATGAAATATGCTGATTTGTTTTAATGTAAGAATAATAATTTATAATCTCAGTCTCTGCAGAAACGTCTCGTCTCTTTCAAAGTGTGTCTGATTGAAATTCTGCAGTTACAATAATTTGTCTCCTGAGAGTGGAGTGAGGTTCTTGTTAATTATGTCACTCCTGGCTGTAATAAAACCTGGCCCCTCTCTAATAAACACACAGACTTGCTCCTTGTGGATTTGAAAGACCTATTTAGTCAAAGAGACATCAGTTCTCTGCATGTCATCCAACTTTCAATCTGAACATTCTTAAGAGGCACTAATAACATTGTCAGATTGTTTTCTATTATAAGGATCACAACATTAATAATCAAGTTATTTTGTCTGTACACTTAACCTTTAGACCAGGGGTGTCCAATCCTGATCCCAGAGGGACACTATCCT